GGGAAAAGGCAGGAGATTTACACTTAAGTCATGGTGCTCATTTGAAGAGCATGTGTTAGACATGATGGGCCAACTGGCTTCTTTCTGTGCTGTAGAGAGCATCCAATTTGGCATTTTAAAAAATCAAGATAATTCATCATGTTTACTAAATTGCAGAAAGCTTAGAAATTTTGGGGTCCGAGTACAGAAATATCAAAGAATTAAAAATGCTTATAAAATATTAGCTCTTAACTCAAGGGGACTAGAATACAAATTATTAGAAGTTGTTGCAGCAGTGCTGAGCAATCTGAAAGTACCATCCACTTTGGGCAGCACATCTCAAGAAGGATATTATCCTCGATTTAGCTTGAGGGGTAGGCAGTGCAGCAAGGATTGGATAATGCTGTAGTTAAATGTTAAATTGAGATTGGGCTGCACTGATTAAGCCTGTATTTCCCTTAAATATAGATGAAGGTATAATTTCTCATTGAGAGAATAAGAAGATCAGAAGATTTGTAAAGGTAGTTGAAGAGAAATGGTTTCCTCTTGAAAGTCTAGAATGTGCCATTCAGTCATGTCAGGCAGTTCAGGAGGATGCCAGCAGTAACCACTTCTTCGAAGGGTGATGGGAAAACATTTCCAATAAGTACTGAATGAGCTGAAATTTCTTCCCAACTAAACATGGAGAATGGCAAAGCTATTATTCTCAGTCCCCTCTACAAACTGTTTCCTGTCTGGCAATTCTCTCCCTGACTGTGGAACATGCAGGAGGCTGAATCAGAATATTCACAACCTTGACATCATGTTTCACCCTGAGCTTAGCTGCTGATCAAATATTCATGCTTTTAAGACTGCTAATCTCCACCTCTGTAGCTTTGTGCAGTTACTGTTTAAAAACTCTCATCTGTACCTCTGGAACGGACTTATTCCACGACTATCCTGGTCTCCCTTATTTACGTTTATAAACTTGTCACCTCAAGCTCAGGTTGCTGCTATGCTAACTGCAACCAAGTCCTGTTGGGTCTTGATTCAGCAATTAATTATGGTCAGTTGGTTTGAAATTTAACTTTTTTAAATTTTTAAAATTTAAAATTTAATTTTTGCTCAGGTATTGAGGAATATGGAAGCAAAGCATTAAAAGAGAGATCAACAGTGTTCTAATTGAATGTCAGAACAGACTTGATTGGCTGAATGAATGACCCCTGTTCCAATGTTCCTTTGTCTCTATTTCAATGTGAAGGGGTTGCAAAATACATTTGAAACTTTGTATTATACAAGTACTTGGTACAAATTCAGAAATTAAATCTGGATTTTACAATAAAAACAAAATACTGTAGATGCTGGAAATCTAAAACAAGCACAGGTTGTGCTAGAGAAATTCAGGTTTGGCAACATCAATGGAGACAAAAACACTTAACGTTTCAAGTCCAATATGACTGCTCTTTAGAACCAGTTTTTACAATGTCAGCTAATCAGTTCCGATGGAGGAACAAATATTAGTCAAGAAACTGTGAACAACCACTCTGCTATTAAGAGATTTTGAGGTTATACGGCAAGGCAAGTGGATTGATTTTTTTTTTAAGTTGCAGAACATCCAGTTGTAGTGTGGAATAGATTTAAAAGGACATTTCCTGTTCCTGGCTAACAGATTAAAGAGACAGTCAGGAGTAGGCCTATGATCTGGAACTAAGAGCAAAAATTCAGATGGTCAGTTTCATGTGTTTGGAAGTAACTTTGTAGAAAGGGAATACCAAAAACATTGCCCAGACAAAGGACAGGGTACATGATTTATCATATTGATCCCATTTATTGAGGAAAGAAGTTGAGATTTGTTTGAATTGCTGTAATTTACTTTGTTTCGACAAAATCACTTCAACCATTCATAGGCAACATGGTGGCTCGGTGATTCCTTACAGCACCAGGGACCCAAGTTTGATTGTAGACTTGGGTGACCGTGTGGCATCTGCATGTTCTGCACGAGTTTGCGTGGGTTTCCTCCCGGTGCTCCATTTTTCACCCACAGTCCAAAGATGTGCAAGTTAGATGGATTGGCCGTGCAAAATTGAACTGTAGTATTGATGCCCATGCTAGGTCCGTTAGCCATTGTATGTGTTATGGCGATGAGGTCAAAGTATGATGCTTGGTGCAGACTCAATGGGCCAAATGGCCTTTTTCCACACTGTGGATTCTATGATTCATATCCACGAAAATTTAACAAGTGTACATCAGCGCTTACAGATCAAAATATTGATTCAGATGGCAGGGTAATTCTCTTGCACTTCTTGAATATGGGTAATGTACTTTGTTCGATCAAAAGTTGATAACTATATCCCAGTTAACATAATTTATGCAAAACTTTGTTATTATTATAGAATGAATTATAGAAATAGTACCTCGTGTTCCATTGAAAATTTTGTGGGGCAAATTCTCTGATAACTGTTAACCAAGTTAAAAATATTAACTATTGTACGAGGATGTTTTTCACAATTAGTATGGGTACACTTCTGCAAGGAATGTGGAAAGACTGCTTACAGTAATTACCTGCCTCATTATCCCAGATGGAATACCTAAAGCTGGCCCAAAACACAAAATGAGGTACTTATCGCAGACTAGACTTTTTTTCATGATTCAATTGTTCTGTACAGTTATGTTACCTCAAGTGCAAAACTAAGCATACAGAATAACATGAAACATGGAAGGGGTTGGGATTGGAGGGGGGAATATTTTCCAAGGGAAATATCTTTTTATGTTGTCTGGTTACAAAAGAGCGAAGAAACCTCTATCAGAATTCAAAATGAGATGTTTCTTAGAGTCATACAGCATGGAACAGGCCTTTCAGTCCAAGTTGTCCGTGCCGACCAGACATCCCAATCTGACTTAGTCCCATTTGCCAGTATTTGGCCCATATCCATCTAAAGCATTCCTATTCATATACCTATCCAGATGCCTTTTAGAATGTTATAATTGTACCCACCTCCACCACTTCATCTGGTAGCTCATTCCATACACTCGCTACCCTCTGTGTGAAAAAGTTACCCCTCAGGTCCTTTTTTAAATCTTTCCCCTCTCACCTTAAACCTATGCCCTCTAGTTTTGGACTCCCTCACCCTTCAAAAAAAACCTTAGCTATTCACCCTATCAATGCCCATTACTATCTTATTAACCTCTATCAGACAGCCCTCAGCCACTGATGTTCCAGGGAAAAACCCCCAGCCTGTTCAGGCTCTCCCTTTGGCTCAAACTCTCCAGTCCCAGCAGCATCCTTGTAAATCTTTTCTGCACCCTCTCAAGTTTAACAACATCTTTCTATAGCACGGTGACAGAAGTACTTTTAGAAGTATTCTAAAAGTGGCTTCACCAATGTCTTGTACAGTCACAACATGATATCCCAACTCATATACTTAATGTCCTGACCAATGAAGGCAAGCATGCCAAATGCTGCCTTCAACACCCTATCTACCTGTGGCTCCACTTTCAAGGTACTGTGCACTTGCATCCTTGGGTCTCTTTGTTTGGCAATACTCCCCAGGGCTCTACCATTAACTGTATAAGTCTTGCCCTGGTTTGTCTCTCAATCTGTTTGTAAGGGACAGGTATTATTGTGGACTGGTTTTTCAGACTGGTTGTACTTGAAAACTCATGAAAAATCAAGTTTTGGGAAGTGCTGCATTTTTGCCTTATTTATAGACATGATTTTCTTTCTGCTTTTTGTAGCAGAAGTCACTGTTGGTTAATGGCAGGTGTGATTCTTTCATTAAAGAATCATGATATTTTTGATGGAAGACTATCTTGATAACGTATTTTTGATAATTATTGTTTTTAATTCTGTGATGATTGCTTAGTTCTATCCTTTTTGTGTTGACATATTCATACAACATGAATTTTAACTGTGAAATCCAGCTATTTCATAGCAGAATAAAGATTCTAATTGTGAAATGTCTTCATTGTAAAAACTTAACAGTACATGATGGGCTTTTTAAAAAAAAATAAATTGAGTGCTTTTAAAACAGTCTAAAGAGGAAACAGTAATGATTGTGGAAATGTCGTCATATTCTCTTCAGTCACACTTGTTGATGTTCCCGACTGACTGCTCTGATGTTTAAAATTCCATTTATTAAATCCAGTTTCAGTATTTGTCAGAACCATCAGAACAACACTGAAGGAAGGCAATATTCTGCAACCAGTCTCAGTAATCCAGCAAATTATTTCTCAATTAGACCCAGCAGCATAGTTATTTGTTCAAGATATGGATGTTTTATAATAACATACAAGATATTCAAGTCTGGATTAGCATAAAAGTAGTTGTCTTCAACAGTTATTCATCAGGGCATTATCATGTGCGTCATTGAGATTGCTGCATTGAAAATAATTTCACAACTGTTTTATAATCAAGCAAACATTAAGTTGTATTTTAAGAGAATTCTTGGCTAGTCCAGTATATATTTATAGTGCAAGATAACTATACATAACTGGCAGCACAATGTCTCTTTTAAAATACTTCAGATGGGTTTTTTCTTTCTTCTTCTGACCTTCCTAATTTGAAGACTTTTGATCTTTTTGAGATACAGGTTTATGTGCCAGCTACTTTTGCAGTACCTCATTATGTTGTCATCGTATCAACCTTATGTCATTAGCTGTTAGGCCTGGACCAGGGAACCAAATCGCTTTTTTCTTAACACAGTTAAGCCAACTGCATTGGCCTGCCACTACTCATCCCTCCCCAATCCAAATTAAATAGTAGATTGATGTAGAACATGAATTGTTCTAATACTCCTTGATCCAGTTATTCACTGAATACCTCTGAGATTTGATTTCATCTGTTTAAGCTCATATTGATTAAAAATCTACACTATGCATGGTTCTGTTGAGCAATAAATATTTAGTTTGGTAATTGTCCTGTTAACTACTCGAGACGTTTTGCTCTTTGATACAATAAAGAATTGAATTTGAAATTTGAAATTTGATGGCACGCAGAATAGTTCAATAACTAAGTTAATCTTTCTTGAAACTTGCTTCAATAGGCATCCCGTGCCCAAATCTTAGATAAAGCCACAGAGTATATTCAGTATATGAGGCGGAAAAATCACACACATCAGCAGGACATCGATGACCTGAAGCGACAGAATACTCTGCTTGAGCAGCAAGGTAAGATTCTACTATATTGAGTTTATTTGTTTAAGTTCACTTGTATTTTGATTTCTAATGTGGAATTTGTCACAGGTTTGAGCAAAATTTATCTCTCTAATGTGGGTAGTGTCCCTTCGATAACAAGGTGTAGAGCTGGATGAACACAGCCGGCCAAGCAGCATCAGAGGAGCAGGAAAGCTGACGTTTCGGGCCAAGACCCTTCTTCAGAAAATGTCCCTTAGACTTTGGCTCACTTTGGTGCAGTTCATTTAATTGCTTTTCCAAAAATGCATAGTACAATTTTAAAACCAATAAAAAAAATTGTATTAAATTGATAATAGGACCAATCACTTTCAAAGGCAAGACTGCTGAAGGATTTTATTAATCTTTCTCTGTGCTGTTTGAAGGCTTCAGTTTCAGTTTAGAAAGCTTAGATGAGAGACCCTGCATTCAGGATTTGTAGGATATTTGATTTCAATGGTCTGAGAATCTTTGGAAAGGCCTGATAATGGGGGGTGAAAAAGACTACCTTAACTATTTTTGAGCATGTTCTAAATTTCAAATCTGTGACAGTCTTACATGAAGGCTGGCCTGAAATAAACAGACATGATTGGAAATAACAGTGTGGATCTGGAGGAACACAGCAGGCCAGGCAGCATCAGTGGATAGATGGTTTTAAAACTTGCTCTTTCAAACAAACTGTTTCAAGTTATTGCAGTGAGATTATTTTCTATTTTATAATATCTAAAAGGTTACCTCATTGATTATCTAAATTTATATTTTCTTTCTGATGGACAAATGGTTAACTGATGTTGTCAGTAAGATGTCGAAGTTATTATTTAGATGCAAGGTTAGTGTAGTGATTTTTGTGTTCTTTTTCAAATGCTGATTTTGGCTTGGTGATGGGGGGAGCAGAATTCTAAACAAGATTAGATCTGCCTTGGACATATCAATAAGCATGGTTCAAATTTCAACTGACACTGCCCCTCGGTTTCTCTGTGACACATCAAGACTGCTGTTGGTGATTCAACTCTTGTTCTGAGGTGTATCAAAGTTCTCAGGACAGTTGTCTATTAACTTGTGGAGTGTTCTGGTGCTGCCATTGCTAACTGTAGCTCACTTAGTACCATTCTTGCCTCTTGCGTCAAAAGGGGGAGTTCCAGAACTTGAAACATGAAAATCAAAGCTGATGCTCCAGTATAGTATTTAGGGAGTGGTGTACTGTCAGACCTGATGCGTCTCACTTGAAAGTCCCCAAAGCACCTGCAGGTGCATGTGGCAGTATTTTGTACAGATGAGTCTTAAGCATAGTGGACTGGCTAATATTTATCCCTCTTATCAGCATTACAATGCACAGGTTATCTGTTGGTTGACATGTTTGTGTGAACTTGTGTCTACTAATAAGCTGCCATGTCTCATACATCATAAAAATGACTACACTTGAAAAATACTTGATTGGCTAATAAGTGCTTTGGGATGCTGTGTGGTTGTGAAAGTTGCTTCTGATCGATAAAATCAGTTCAAATAAACTGTACAAATTGGCAGAAGTTGAATTGGAGACAGCAGCTGTGACCAATCATTAGTCAAGTTGCAAGTATAGAAATACTTGGGCTGTCTCACAATGTTGGCATTTTCTTTCAAAGACAAATTATTTTAAAATGAGGTGTAAAAACTTAACCACTTCCTAAACAATGAATCAGCGCAGTCCCATGGAATATTTACTCAAATCTGTGCACATAATTTACTCGGCATTAATTTTGTATAATGGACCGTGGACGTTTCCTTTACACATTCTGACATGTACCCAGTAATATGAGAATTCCACCTGAAAGTAAAATGCTGTCATCAGTCAGTGCCTCAGTTTTCATCTGAAGATGTACTTTTGTTGAGTGCAAAAAAACATTGAAATGACTACATTACAATGCCAAAAAATGATTTGAATGAAACGTACTACATGTACTGTTTGTCCTGCAGATTGACATCTAAACATGCTGGTCTTGTTGGAGAGTCACATTCGGAGACGACCTTTTTTTGTCGGAAATTATTGCCTTGCCACAAATAGCCTTTTATTGTGTTTTACCCAAACCACTCTCTTTGTCTATTGCAGTTCTTTTTCTGAAGCTTTATAGTGGGTTCTATCTTGTTTGTTGAATGCCCCTATTTCTAGTAATATTAGTGATACGACTGTTTTGTGGACTGATAACTGTACAATGTAACTGCTTGACAAATACTTTACCACAAGGTGGTAGTAACAGTACACTGGACATGGTTCATGCACAATTAAGCACAGTAGTTCAGTTTAGAAATCTAAGAAAGCTTTGCAGTGATTACAGACCATAAGACACAGGAGCAGAAATTAGGCCATTCAGCCCATCGAGTCTGCTCCACCATTCAATCATGGCCGATAAGTGTCTCGGCCCCATTCTCCCGCTTTTGCCCCGTAACCTTTGATCCCTTGACAGTCAAGAACCTATCTATCTCTGCCTTAAATATACTCAATCAACTGGCCCTTCTAGCCTTCAGTGGCAATGAATTCCGTAGCTTCACTGCTCGCTGGCTGAAGAAGTTTCTCCTTATCTCGGTTCTAAAGGGTCTTCCCTTTACTCTAAGGCTGTGCCCTTGGGTCCTAGTCTTTCCTACCAATGGAAACATCTTCCCAATGTCCACACTATCCAGGCATTTCAGTATTCTGTAAGGTTCAATTAGATACACCCTCATCCTCCTAAACTTCAAGTATAGACCCAGAGTCCTCGAACGTTCCCCATGTGTTAAGCCTTTTGTTCCTGGGATCATCCTTGTAAACCTCCCTTGGACTTGCTTCAGAGCCAATACATCCATTCTGACGTTTGGGGCCCAAAATTGCTTGCAATACTCTAGTTGAAGCTTTGTCAAATGTGGAACAATCTGTGACCACCCTGAGCTTATGTTGGATATGTAGAACACAAAAGATAGCTGTTACCATATTAGATTTATTCTGTGTTAATCTATACCTATGAGCTGAACAATACATAACATGGTGAGGATGCAGTGAGATGTGAGTGACATTGTCCAAAGTTTTTTGAGGAAGGGCAAGTAGTTTTAAAGATGTTTAAAGGTTCACTTCATATGCATTGTCAAAGTGATTACAAGTTTGGTTCTAGTGAACAGAGAACAATCCTGTAGTACCCAAAACCAATTCCCTGTGGAAATCAGTAGCAAAGGATTTCACTGTGTAGTAAATAAATTTGTTGCTTTGGTTTGATCAGTGAACTGCTTTTCTTTTGCAGTACGTGCACTGGAAAAGGCACGGGCAGCTGCCCAGCTACAGGCCAATTTTTCATCCTCCGACAGCAGCTTATACACCAATCCCAAGGGCAGTGCAGTTTCTGCCTTTGACGGAGGCTCTGATTCAACATCAGAGTCAGAAACGGAAGAACCCCAGACAAGGAAGAAGCTGCGAATGGAGGCATGCTGAACCCCTTCAGGCAATAAACTGGCTGGCTTTTACTAGGGATTTTTGTGTATAGCTTTACTTCTCAGTTTGTCTTCTGTCAGACCCCTTTGTGCGTTAAGGATTAGAACAATTGATGCTGTTAGCAGGACAGCATCTTGTTTCATCAGTAGAAGGACTTCCTGCTCTTCCTTGTGAAATTACAACATGGCAGCTGTCAAACTTATTAAGGAACTCCACATGCTGCAACAGGAACTTTGCAGCAGTTCTTGACTTATTTACTAGCTGTGGCACCCAATTTGGACGTGCGGTGGGTGGGGGGGGTGGGATCTAGATTTGAATGTGTTATTAAAAGACTAAGGAAGCAAGGCACAAGTTATTTGATGCACTATCAATCTGTATGTATGTCTATTACAAACTGTTAGCCATGTAGAACTAATCTTGAATTTTTTTTGAGATTTTTTGCTCTTATTCATTTTAATTATGAAACAGAAATTCATTGTCACTTGGTATTAAAGAGCCGTAGACTTCAAAACTGTACACTTAAGATGAGTTTTATTTTTCGTATTTCCTCAGTGTTTTACAGATTTTAAAAACTCAAATATTCTGTGCCTTGTATTGCTTTTATGTAACCCTATGAAATGATGGAACAGCTTAAGTGCCCTAAAGCTATGCTTAATGGTACTGAAATATCTGCAGTCGATACATCCAAACTGGGTATGTTAAGTTTAAATGTTTTAGCAGGAACCAAAATAATTGTATTTAAGCCTCAGTCTGCATAATACAATGTACAAAATTAAATTGATTTACAATACTGCTAATTATTGATGTCTGAACAATCAGCTGGCTGCCAAGCACTATTCAGGCTGTGTTTTGGGGGGGGGGTGGGGGGGGAGGTGTGTACATTTGTCTGTCTCTGCATTTTCAATTATTGGTCAAAGCTTAAACTAGCTTGTAGCATTATGTAGATTTGTCTCGTTATTTGATTCCATTCCATGGAAATTACAGGTATGTTGTACATACTGCCACGAATTGTCTTGCAAGTTGAGGCTGACCTTTACTATGAGACTATAAATAAAAACTATTTTATCCTTGTTATTTGTGATAGTTAATGATCTTTACTAATGTCAAAGGGAAGAGCACATTAGTTTCATTCAACTTACTGGCAACTGAATTAATTCTGTATTGCTATCCAGTTGCCCAGAGGAAAAAGAAATCCTAAATACGAGGTTTATGCAAATTGAAATGTGAAGTGCCTGTCTCTCTCCTTGAGAACAACAGTTATTTAGTAGTTGCATAGTAACACAGCCACTAACGTCAATATTGTTGTTTTGTATTTCTATGAAGGAGAATAAGGAGTTAGATTTATGTATTATCTTTCTTGACCTTTATGATTGGCAGCACTCCAGCTGATGAAGTATTTTTGAAATAAGTGTTTGTTTCCTGACATCATAGCAGTGTCACAGAGGCTGTTTTCATAGTTTGTTTTAAATCTGGTTACTTTGTCAAATCATTCTGATTGAAGTTTAAGTAAAGCTTGTTTAAGGAAAAGATTTTTTTTTTTTAAAAAATGCACCTGTGACAAAAGGATCCTTGGAATACAGTATACTTGAAAATATGTATAGACTTGTGGGCTATTCCATGTGGATCTTGTTTGTGTATGGCTCTTGTACTTTAATCTTGATTGGTCTTTGTAACAACTACTAAGAATATGTTTAGTTCTACTTCTGGCTTTCATCCATTGCTGTTCAGGTTGACATTATCGGTATATGTTTATTCGGAATGGAAATTCTCAAGTATATGCTGACTTCAGTCCTTGAATCTCTATACCAATGCTGCTTTATTGAAGATTTAACATATTTGAGAATCATTTATATTTAATTTCTTGAATGAATTCTGCCCAGACTGCTGGCGATTGATGTCACGCTGCTGCATTGGTTGTACAAGTTAAAACTAACCTTCTGCTCTCAAAGCTCATTTTGAGAGAGTGTAAGCTCAGTTGTATAAATTTACAAGCGTTTGCATTTTGCTCCTCAAGGGGGTCTGGATGGTGAACTTTTCAACTGCTGTGAAGTTTCCTGAGGTTAAGGAAGTATGGAAGAACACTGCTGGCTTTATAAGTAGGAGTTTTACACTTTTCCTGATGTACTGATAAATGTCATAAAGCTGACATTCCTCATTGAGTTACCTTAAATAAATTTCAACAGAGGGAGAAAATAGCAATATTTAAAGCAAGGGTATTTTTAGTAATGGTTTGAGGTTCATTTGAGCAATGCATCACGGAATGCTAATGGAAGATCCAACAGCAGGAACATAATGAACTGAACGTGCACAGAGCAAGCTTGCTTGTAACACCCTTAATGTACTCAATGAAAGGCATTTTGTATGTTCAGGCCCCATTCTTGAGCAATTTTGTGGTTTGAACAGCAGACCAACCATAGGGCCAATAATAATTTCCATAGAAACAGTCAATTTTTTAGTAAGATGCAAGTGAAATAGAAGTATAATAGTCAAACAATTTGTAGCTGACTTGCATGGGTAAGTTTTTTAAACTTTCTGGAGAACGGCACATTGGAACAGCCTCTTTCTGGAAGGGAATATTGGTGTGTTTAGATGGGAGCTTCTGAACCAAAAATAATTACATTAATTAGAGATGGAGTTCTGCCTCCAGATCCAATTTCTTTCTTCACATGAATTTTTGCCAGTAGCCTTTCCATTTAGACTACTCATTGTGTAAAAGTCTACAAATCAGAAATAACCCACTTGGTGCAACTGGTCCAAACTGAACATCATCAGTATAATCTATTTCTTTATCCCTTGTGTATTTATCCAGCTGTGCCTTAAATGCATCAAAAGCGTTCTTGTCAACTTCTGCTTGGATCAAGTTTTTGCAAATTTCCTGTTTTGGCCAACTGGTTTTGGAGGCAACAACTTGACTACAAGCTGCATATTCACAGCATATTACTGTTTGGAAATGAAGCCTGGACAACAATCTATATCAGTGTTTACATCTGCATCACATGGAAAGACAAAGTCAGCAAGGCATTTGTGCTTCATAATGCTGATAAAGCAAAGAAGGTTTTGCTAGGATGGAAGAAGCCTGTCTTCAAGAATACTGTGTACCAGGGGGGTAGCCAGGCTAAGAGATCAGGGCTGTCAAAATTGCTTTAAAGATTCTCTGAAAGCTCGCACTGTTAGTCATAAGTAGGAAAATCCAACCAAAGTTTCAGATTCTCCAGTCCCATAATTTGGGATGCAGTGAGTGTGCCAGGTCTTTGTATCTTCCATCGTTTGCCTAGTTGAACTTATTCTAACATTGAACTCTCACCTCTGCTTTTCCTCCAGATAAATATTATAGATATCGGAGCCTATACAGTTCCAACTATTGCCAGTCTTTTTGTCAGATGTACAAAACACTTCTTATATCAATTGTTCTCCATTATGTTATTTAAAGCTATGTTCGTGATGTGTGGTTGAATCTGGATTAGCTTAAGGGTTTGGGAATAAGTGTATTGTCACATTTCATAATGCACTTGGGAGAACTTTATTTTGCTGTTTATTGATTCCTTTTTTTTGTGTGGAGCTTCTCCCTCATTCCTTTGATCATCTGATGTATCACCTGTTGCTATAAAAGATATCAGTAAGTTTGCAACCCATCTTAACACTTCACTCATCATCAAAATCTGTCGCTTTTTCTATTCATTTCAGCCATATAAAAATGCCTGCCCATCTTTGTTTTACTGAAGTGTCAAACCCTATCTTTAAAGCTGTTGATCGATCTGTTGTGTGTTTTCTAGATTTTCTTACCAACACTTCCTACACAGGTTCCTGAACATAAGTCGTCAGAGGTCACATTTGAGGTGGAAAATAGTCTCTCCTTGGATTGTCAAGGAGACAAACTGACCCAATCTCGAGACTCTGGCAGGACAGCCCTTGACACGTTGGATCAATTCGAACAAACAACATGGGATGGATGTTGTGCTCAAAATACTACTTGACTTCGGAAGACATTTCTGGGGCCTGAGATGTTAGTGTGCCGAATTACAACAGCCAGGTACCCTCAAATGTAACTTGGTCAGTGCCCGAGTTTGGGGAAACCCTGGATACCTCGTACCTAAGCCTGAAAAGTGGAGGGCAGCTTTGAATTTTGTGTCTCTGTTAGGAAGAATGGTAAGGGGAGAAGGTCTAATTACAACGTACTGTTCACAATTTTTTAAAAACATAGTGCTTTAAAACATTTTGATATTTAAATGATTTGTTGACGTTAGTATGAACTGTGCTGTTTTGTTGCTGTTCTTCTGTTTTGTCTTTGCTGTGCTTGAGTTAATTCTCACGTATTTAAATGGGATCACATTACAAACTGGTTTGGGCAGCTCTGGTCTAGTATGTTCCTCCAGCTTGTTGCAATTATTTCCTGCATTACAGATGCATTTCAACATGTCAAATTGTAACATTTATGTAAGTCATATGTTATCTGCCAGTCGTAGGGTACTACTGAATGCAGTTGTTTTACAACAGTGTGTATCCATCTGGTTGTGGAGAAAAAGCAGTGAATTCCAGGCACACAAACCTTCAGACAAAAATTTGATACAGATAATGGTAAAGTGCCTGAGTTATGCACTTTGACCTCAGAATAATGCCGTACTCCAAGAAAAGGCTTTCAGTAGTCCCAAATTATGATAGAAGTTTTTAAAGATTTTGATCTTCCAAACATTTGATAAGTTCACACTGTAATTTAGGCATGTTTAATGTTAATGTAAAATGTTCTTAGTATTGAATACATGACAACAAAGATTGAAAATCTCAGTCAATTTCAAATCCAAGATAGAACTTTCTTTTGAATTCCAAGGCTTTTTAAAATTTTCTGACCAATCTGCCTTGAGACCTTGTCAAAAGTCTTGCTGAAGTCTGTCCGCTATATCACATGTTACCACCCTCTTCTTGCCTTTTCTCCTTTTATAAATGTAATCAAGTGGTCAGACATGACCTTCTCTTTAACGTCAGTGCTATTTTTGATTAATCTTGCATCTAAAATGGTGACGTATACCATGTCTTTGACCTTTTCCCAATAGTTTGCCTGCCACCAAGATTATGCTGTCTGTCTGTACTGTCTCAAGCATTTTTGCTCTTCCAGTTCTATTGCTGTAATCACAGATAATTGGAAAATGATGACTAACATCCACCTTTGATTCCTTTTGTAAGCAATAGGATACATTTCATTGGGATCTGGTGATTTATCCACACATCCTCCCTCACTTAGTTTATCTTATCCAGTGTTTTACACTTCTTAACTATACTGTCTGCTTCATCTCTTTATTTTGTAAAAACAAACACAAAATATTCATTAACAGCTCTGCCCACACTGTTTCTACCCACAAGTTACTTTATTTGGTCTCTTGCTCTTTATATATTTATAGCATGCCTTTGGAGTGTCCTTGATTTTAATTGCCAATATTTATTATTTCCTTGACTATTTCTCATTTCCTATTTTTAAAAGTCACCCCTGTACTTTGTTTCTTCTAGGCTACCTGTAGGATTGTGTTTTTGGCATTTGACAAAAGCTTTCTTGCTTTTTGCCTCGTCCACATCTACATGGCCTTTGATATTGGGCCACGTATCGATTTGAACTTCTTTCTTTGTGAGAATGTGTGTTCAGAACTGTCTTCAGGTCTTCCTTCACATGCCCCATAATTTAAAAAAAAAAAAAAAAATTAACTTATTTTTCTAATCAACCTCTGGAGCAGGTAAGATTTGCACACAGGCCCCCCTGGTGTAGGGGTAGGGACATAAGGGGGGCCTCTCATCTCCATTGCTTTGATATTGATTTAACTTCAAGCATCTGTCAAATATCAGCTCAGCTTAGTAAATTTAATATTCCCCAATTGACAATTTTTACTCCAAGTTGTCAGTATCCTTTTCATAATTACTCAATCCTTCTTTATACCAATTCTCCAAAACAGAAACAAAGTGCTGGATCAAACTCAACAGTTCTAGCAGTACAGGTGGTGGGAATACAAGTTGTGAATCCATCACTTTTTGTTTTTGTTTCAGATCTCCAGCATCTACATTTTGTTCAGACTGCTCCTTTGCTTGTTCGATTTGCTATGTACTGCCTGAAGAAGTTCTTACAGAGGGAGCAGGATTCTTAAAACAGTTCATATCTCTTATACTGAAATTGTTCCAGTTAATATTAATGTAGTTGATCTATCTGTCTGTAACTGTTTGGGGGTCCATAAAATGCTTTCAGCAGTGTGATTGCTCTTTTGTTTCTGTTTAGTGTAGTTTGATATTCTTTCAAACAGATTACCTTTTTCACAGCTGTATTTGTTTCTTTAACCAATACAGTAATAACCCGCCTTTTTAATCCATCTCTAAATCATGTGAATACTATAAAACTTTGAATATTGAACTGCCATTCATTTCCTTCTCGATTCAATGGCTGTATATTCCAAGGTGTGGCAATTGGTGGGAAATTTGATTGCCACTCAGTCCTAGTTTTTTTATTTTTATAAGAGACAGCTTCTCCCTTTTATAAACAGGAGATTCCAGTTAGGGCTGTTTCTGAAATGCAGAGCTATAATACCCTTCAGACAGTTTTTTTAGTAATGTTGTTAAAGGAATGCAAAATACAGTCCCCTTTCTCCCTGCAATCAGTTGGTTTATTTTACAGTTAAAGCTCGAGACCTCCACTTCGACAGCTACTATCAAGGGAAGTAGAGTGCAGCTGGGTATAAGTCAGGGTGTCAGGTGATTAGTAGGTTAAGAAAGAAGGGAGTAATGCCCAATATGGGTAAGGTGCCTGGGTAGGTTGAGAGAGGTGGCAGAAATCAGGTTGTGCGGTTCAGATCCCTGAAGAAAGAAGGGGATTAATGTGCAGCAGAGAAAGAAGAGGGGTCACATGTGAGACAGGTTTTAGGGGGAAGGAATATTCTCAGTGATGAGGGAAGAAGAGGAGCACAGCCAGTGAAAGGATAATGTGGTCTCATGGTGAATAGGGCAAGGGTTGCAGGTGCCAGGTGAGATGGCTCATCTCGGAGGACGAGTGTCCCCATGCACAACATCCAGGCTTGGGCTGATAATTTGGACTCGTTACAGTCCAGAAAATACTATACATGATCTGCATTTTATTTTCGATCCTCGCTCTCCAACCTCTTAGCTGGTTCTAGCTGTATCTTTGTTTCCTCTTTGTCCTCAGCCAAAATCTGAACATCATTTTAGGTATTACCACATGTTGACATATTAGTTCCGTATCCAAGCCATGAATGATACAGAATGCTATACAAATCAGCAGCAAACATCCCCGCTTCTGATTTTGACAGAAAAGGTCATTGATGAAGCAGCTGAAGGTGGGTGGGCTGAAAACACTTCTGTAGGAGTTCTTTAGGGTAATATCCTGAGGCTGAAATGATTAACCTCCAACAACCTACCTTCCTTTGTACTCCAGCCAGCAGAGAGTTTCCCTCTTCATTACCTGCGAATCCTCTTAAAATTTTATTCAGTAAAGACAGTAGAAATGTTCAGAGTTTTACTTGTGAGGCAAGAAAGAAAGAATTCATCAGTTGATACAAGGACAATGTTTGGCCTACAGTTGGAGTGGGGGTAAAGGGGAGGAGAGACATTAAAGTTATAATCAATTGACCTTCAGTTCCAAGTCCTGAGCACAGCAGCAACTTTGGAGTCCCATGCAGCTAAAAAGAAAAACAGAACACTACTGAGCACGAACTGGGTTGTTTATTTTTTTTTTACACTAACCTGACTGCAATAAAATTTGCCACTGTCCCTCCACCTGCACCAACCAGGCTGGAATTTGAGTATGGAGGGATCACTGGCTAGACCAGCATTTATGTTCCATCCCTAATTGTCCTCAAGATGTTGGTGGTGACCTGCTTTCTTAAACTGCTGCAATCCAGTTGGTAAAATGGGTATGGGATGAGAGAGGCCTGTAGTGCCCACCCTTTTGCCAATGGAGGTCTTTAACTGGACAATTAATGACCACTTCAAGGTGGCTTTCTACTGGCCTCAATTTGAAGGCTGTGAGGTCATCAAGAGCTGAGGAGGAAGCCTGGAAAGCCATTTTGCTCTGGCTTCAGGCATAATGGAGGGTACCTCTCAACAGATCCTTCTTAACATCCCAACCCACAAAGTCTGTAAATACCTCTGTGTTGTCACCCTACCCTCCCACTACCCACAAGCATTCCACCCACGTGACTGCAAGAACCCCACACTTACCCAGTCCTGGACATTCTGGCCTGGTCTCTGGAGACTGCGCATCATCCCAGGGAAGGTCACTCTATTAACTGGTGCTGGCAGGATTACTCAGTTTTTGGCCAGTCTGATTATCTGAAGCTTTCTGAAGTAGGACCTCCTCCCACGCAGGGGGCAGAAGCTTCTCCTGCAGCAATTTAATGCTTAATGTGTTGAACGGCTGTGGAGCGGCCAGCATTGGCAAGTGTGATCCCAACAGACGGTGGGATAGGAAGTCCTGTCATCTGAAAAAGCTTTAAATCTTCAAAAAACATTAAATTGATAATAAGTGAAGTTCTGTTCTAAAAGTGCAGTCATTTATTATTCTTTGATGATACTTAAAAATTATGAACAAATAACTGGATCCTCAGTATTAGGTTTGCAGGATGGCTTGTTGAGGCAATTTTACCCTACTTTAGCAAAATAACAATGAATGAAGATTGAAAGTATAAACAGAAAGCATTGAAAACTGACCTTTGCTTATTTTAATTGTTGCAAGTATAAAATTAATCTATATTTCTGCTGATGTTCAATACAGAGAGGATTTTTGTCATTTTGCTGAACAAACCAACCTCTCTCAAGATAACAGTCATGTGTTTTGACATCAAAAGACTTGGTGACATGGATTTCAACTTGTCCAACATTAATTGGTTTCTGCTGTCAACTATTGATAATCATCACCACCCAGTAACATTAGTGGCAACAATTAGGCTGAGCCAACAATCTGAAGAGTTTTTGCTGATGTAAGTCAGGAAATAAAATGTACTGATTATCCTTCACCTGTTAATTATCTTGCAAAGAATAAAATAAGGGTCTTACTGTGACTTAACATAAATGAAGGATAATAAAATTTAATAGGTTTTTAATTGTTTTAAAGTTATCACTGTAGACATTTGAGATGCCACAAAGAAAATTAGATTTTCTGTCAGCGAAGTTGTAACAGCATTGTGAACTTAGTGCACTGTTCCAAACTAGGTCACACCTCACGAGGTGCAACATGTATCAAGGGATTTTACAGAATGGTAGTGTAAAAGTGAAAAATATCAGAAAATACAGAACTCTGAAATGTCATCACTGTTTTTCTTCCACAGATGCTGCGGATATACTGAATGTTTCCCACACTGATTTTATTTGAGATTTCCAATGTTCATGTATTTTGCTTTATCTCTGTATAAAAAGTGGATATTCACAGCAATTTCAGTCATTTCTAATGATTTCATCTGTAGGAACTACAAAGGCACAATCTGGATTTCTGCATGTAACACCGAACTGCGAAATCCAGGCCAATAAGTATCGTTGCACAAAAATATTATATTTTATTAACATATGCCAGATGTGGACAAAATGTGAATAGCTGTATATCGAAATAAAGTATAAATTTTCTAGCACAGATGCTTGTATCGTTCTAATTTGCAGTTGGTACTACTTTAAAAGCAAAATTGGTTCATCCCCTCAGATACAAACAGCAAGATGTAAAACGTAGAAGCAAGATAAGAAATTCAAAACAAAAGTAAATTTTTAAATTAAAGTTTAAAAAGGCATAAAAATTGCACACCTATGTGCTGTAAACACACGAGTTCACATGATGAGTTTGGAAACAAGATAGTCATGGTCACAATGTCATTGCAGAGACTCCATTTAAATTAATCCATTTGGAACTTCACTTGCCATGTTTCAACAGTGTCAATTTTGACCACTTTTCTAAAAAAAAACATGGAAAATAGTTGTTTACAACCTGGAACGAGTTTAAGTTTAATGGCAAGCAATCCAAACATGGTATTGCAAACATCAATTTTCAGATTTTAAAGAAAAGAGTAAATTAACTAACATGATGGGGTTATCTCATGGCCATAGCCACATAAGTTCAATACTTATGCTTGCAATCAAACTGTTGAAAATAAGTTACCTGAAAAAGCTTTAGCAGAAGTAGATTTAATGTAGCAGTACACCCTCTGTGGCGTGCTCAGGAGTATTGAAATCATAGACAAAATGTAGTGAGAGGCACCAAGTAAAGCTTAGGCACTTATTTGTCTGTGATCTCACAACAGATCCATTGTGAATAGAAGGATCTTTATTAATATTGTACATATTGCTAACTGTAATTAGAATAACCAATCTTCGCAATGCAGGATCTTTCCATCAGCCAGCAAAGCATGCTACATATAGTGACTCCTGTCATGACACTGGCAGAATTGGAATGATTCATATTCCCAACCGACTGAGAATCTGTGATTGAAGTTCCAGTAAATACAGCTGCTTTGAAACTTGGACTTTCAAGTGCAATTCTCAAAAATGTTTGAGACTTCTATGTTTTAGAGTGTGCGGCCACAGAGTTCACTAACAGGGCTAGGTGATACAGTTTTACAATCAGCAAGCCTAAAGCTTGACTCTAACAAGTGTCTGTCATTAAACACTGGGGTCATAATTCACAGGATAAAACAAGAGCAGGGGGCTCTCATGGTGAAGTGGCAGCAGCCCTTGCTCGAAGTCAGAAGGCCCAGGTTCAAGTTCAACTGTGTCATAACATATCTGAGCAAGTTGATTAAAACTAAGACATACAGGCGACATATTTAAAAAATGTACTATTGATTATTTTAAAAGCAAGGTACTGCAGACATTGGGAAGCTGAAACAAAAAGTGCTGGAGAAAGTCAGGTGTGGCAGCATCTGTGGAGAAAGAAACACTTGATGTTTCCCTCTCCAAGGACGCCACTAGAACTGCTGACGTTCTCCAACACTTCCTGTTTTTATCCTATTATTTTGCCTCCCCAGGCATGATTTTCATCTATTATAAAAGGGACAATGAGTGATCACTTTCTCAATTAAACATATTATTGTGACACAGGTTTGCAAAACATACAATAAACTGCTCAACTCAAGTCTAGGACATTCTCTACAGTTCTCCAGTATGCAACATAACCTTTGAAATAGAAAAAGGAAAGCACAAAAACAAAACTGTTGTGAAACAATGAAAATTAATCCAGACAAAATGGAATGCTTGAAAACATTATTTTTATTGCAACTGTGATAAATTATTTCTGAAGCCATTATAAAGAACAGTGCTGTATTTGTACTAATTCTATTCAGTTTTACTGAGAAATTCAGTTATGAAACTAAGAACACTTACAGACACCACCCTCCGTTTCTGCAGCATTGGAGGAGCAAATTGCTGAACATTGACTAGTCAGTCACAGTTTCGGCAGTGTCAATGGCTTGTTGTTGTCGTCAGAAGCAAATAACTCGAAGCTAGTCCCTGCTTCACGTGAATCATTTCACTTTGGATACCACAATTCTCTGCGCTCAGGTTACACAATTAGTACTTAGAAAGTTAGTTACTTTGAATACACAATGAATTTAATTTGAATTATTTTTCATCTGTGGTACTGGTAGCTTGTGGAAGTGCATTACAGCTTGTGCTACTTTTTCAGGACTAATGTTGTATACAGGGTGGATTGGTTCCTGTCGGAGAAACAAAATATATGTCACAGTATATATTTCCACATCTAATTTAAAATATGTAAATGAAACTGTGAAGACTTGATTGCAATTTCTTCTGAGTTATTCATCTTTACTCTCTGTTGAAGAGAATTCTAAAGAGGCTGGGTATTCAAGGCTCAGTTACTCGGATGTTTCATTGTCAGAGCCAAGAGTCATGGGGTACAAGAAGGAAGTTGAATTAAGGCCACGATCAGATCATCCTCAATCGCCCAAATAGCAGAGCAAACTCAAATGGACTGAACAGTCTACTCCTACAATCTTGTTTTATAATTTTGAAATATCGATCACGGGGAAATTGTTAAAAAGGAAACAAGTGAAAAAGATGTTAATGACCAATATATTTGAATAATATGAAACATTTCCAAAGTGTTAACACCTGCAGAATTTTTATCTTAAAGAAAAAGGCATATCTCAGTTCATGATCTTAGGAATTTGCAGACAACCAAGTCATTTTGAAATGATAAAAGAGGATTGGCTGCCTGGAACAGAACACAAAGGATACATAAATGGGTCCTTGATTGGCAGGATGTGACCAGTCCTGCAGGCATCTGTGCTGGGCCCCAGTTTAGAATTAGACTGGGTGTGGAAAGAGAGAGGTAAGGTATTTTAGCTCAATGAGAGATGACACTATGTATGTTGTGAAGACGACAAAATTAAATTGCAAGTGGATACAGATTGGCTGTATGTGGCAGATGGAGCATAATGTGGAAAGATGTGAAGTTGATCACTTTAATTGGAAGAATGAAAACACAGAATCACTTAAATGGAGAACAACTGAGGAATTCCAAAGTATAGAGGGATTTACATGTTATATTGAATGAGTTATGAAAAGTTAGTTTGCAGGTACAAACACAATCAAGAACACTAATGGGAGCTAGCCTTTATTATTGAGGGAAATTGAACAGAAAAATTCAATGTGGTGGAAGCCAGGTCACTGAATAACTTTGAGGAGGAGATGGACAGATTGGTATTTAGTAATGAGTTAAAGGATTATAGGGAGGGGGCAGGAAATTTTGGAGTTGAGACAGAGAGGAGATCAGCCACGATTGCATTAAATGACAAAACAGGTCTACTCCTGCTCCTAGTTCTTCTGTTCTTGAGTGGGTTGTCTTCTGAGGATGGATTGGACAGGCCGGCCTGTTTCAACTGGAGTTTAGCAGAATTAGGGATCAGGTCGGGGCAGAAGTAAGCATTTCAGCCCGTTGAACGGCTGAGCAGTCTCCACTTTCCTGCCTTATCCCCATAATCCTCGACTCCCTTAGTGATCAGAAACCTATCAACCTTGAATATACTTAACAACCCAGCCTCGACAAGTCTCTGTGGTGCGAACTTCACAAATTCACTACACTGTATCTGTGTCGTAAATGGGAGGCTCCTCACTCCAAGTTTATGCCCTCTCAACATCTACCGTATCAATCCCCATAAGAATCTTACGTATTTCAATATAATCAATATATGACTGAAGTATACAAGATTCCGAACCGTCTTGATAAAGTGAACACAAAGGATATTTCCTCCCATGGGTGAGTCTAGAACTAGGGCGCAATACTTTAAAACTAAAAGGTACTCTTTCAGAACAGGGGTGAGGAGACTCTGAAGGTTGTGCTATTTTGGAACTCTCCGCTCGAGAGGCAATGTGGGTGAGATTATTAATTTTTTTTTTTTTTAAAAGGTAGACAGGGGAATCAAATTATTGGGGGTGGGTGGGCATGTGGAATTCAAAACACATACAGATCAACCATGATTATATGGAATTATGGAGCAGACTTGAGGGGCTGAATGGTCTGTTTCTATTTTGTAAATTCACGTGTATGTTTTTAATGATGCTCACCAGCCGGTTGTTTGTATCACCAACAATAATTTCGTGTAGAAGTTCTCCACCACCAAAGTGCTGTGCCACTGAAAGACCACTTAGGCAATAGCAGGTATGGTAAAAATCCCTTGACCTGCAGAGGAAATATTTATATATATTGAGGGTCAACACAATTAAGTATGGAGTTGGATTATTTGTCTGTGTAACTGCTATGTCCAATGAACCACATTTAATTTCTCAAGCCACCAAGTTTCCTTAGTCAATCCATTGAAAGATCTAATCATTCAGGTTAAATAAAGCGTGAAGAAGCTCACTGTGCTTACGTACTTGGTTTTACTGCGAATGATACAAGAAAACTGCCAGACTACACCAGATAGTGACCAACACCAATGTCTTGAGATTGTACGGTTCTTGCTAATCTGAGCTAAAAACAATAATAGAACTGGTTTGCATTACTGCAGGTTGCTACAAACTGCAGTTATCTTGTCTTTGCAATTCTCCATTAAATAAAGTAGTTACTATACCTTGCAAAACCTGGAAACCAGCCAAACCTGTAACCAGCTCGACATTGAGAATCTAACCAGAATCCCAGAAAGTGTACTTGCGTGCTGTAGCACAGTATTCAAACTGAGACAAAACTGAGCCAAATTGGGAAAACTGACTTTGCTTTATGAAACCAAGAAGTAATTAGTCACAATCAGAGTTGATGCTGAGCTGACCCGAAACATTTAAGGGACAATCTCACTGCTGGACACACCATTGTCTGTGATGAAGCACCTTACATCATTCTTGATGATAAACCAATATAAACAGATCGTGCGTGGCAATTTTTGTTTACACTTCAGTAGCCAAGTACACCACAGTGTGACACTGTAAACCTCAGAACTTTAATACTGTTCAGGGATTGAAAGAATCAGCAATGACTCTTTCTGGAATAAACTATTTCCTTAGAGGAAAGCAAAAAGGAGAAACTGTTATAAAGGAATCAAAAGCAAATGCCAATTAACCTGGGAAAAGGAGTTGAAGCAACATAAACGGTTTCCTGGGAGAGAGGAGGTAACAACGGCTTGGTAACTTAATTGCCCATTTGTCACAAGGCAGCAAGATTGCTTGCATGAGAAATGTCCCGAGGTGAAGAGGTTAACAGCAGGACCAGCCGTGTTTCAAACGGACGGTTAACAACAAATGTGACAACGAAGCCACTTCCGATAAAAGGCAAGCTATAGTCCTGGACTCCAGAAATGCAGTCAATGTTACGGGTGTTTGGGTCCAAAGGATCACCAATAATATCACATCAGAAAATTCACCAGATAGAAAATCCTAAAGAATTCAACTTCAGGATTCTTCAATAGCAGAACTACACTGCACAAAGATTGAACCCTGGATATCCAGAGGCAGGCACTGGAATCGTAGCTAAATTCCAAGTTGGGTTGAGAGGCTTAACTTACTTATGTGAGCAATCTTATTTCGTTTGCTATATGCAATAAAAGTTTTTAATTTGATTGTGAGATTTCTTAATAAGTAGCCAAAAAAAAGGAAGCTTGTGGTAATTTACATACAACAGCAGCATCTTGAACCATATCCTTGACAACTAACCAAATTTTCAGTTTGGCACCCAGTCTTTTTGATCCCCAGTGTTCCAGCACATTCAAGTTGTCACAGAATCACAGAATTAATAAAGTGCAGGAGGCCATTCAGCCTATCAAGGCTGCACCTGTTCTATCAGTGTACAAGTATATTAGAGTCAAGTACTACAGATCACTACAAATAGGCACTCATTAAGGATGCACTTCCAATTAGTATTTTACTTCAACAGTCAAGAAATGTTAAATGCATACATCAGTCATATTAAATAAAGTGACAATATGCTGTGCACACAGTATAAAGTTACCACTCACTTGCCAGGTTTGTCCAGTAATCCCCCAGTGGAATTCTGACAGCAAAGTAGGATATACTCCTGTAGGGCTTCTTGATGAAACATCCAGCGTGTCATACTGAGACTATTGTTTCCTACAAAGCATTACAACAGAGTATAATTAGTTCACATCTACCTGAAACTAGAATGACTTCTTCTCAAGGGCAATTAAGGATGGACAACAAACACTGGTCATGCCAGCAATACCTATATCCCATTAAAAAAATGAAGAACCACCAAATACTTGGAAACAAACAAATATACTTGTGTCTACTGAAGTCAATTCCTTAACATCTATGTGAATTGAAGGAATGTGGAAGACTGTCCAAAAGGAATATAATGAGAATCCAGTCTTCAGCAAGAGAATGAAAATGCTCCTACCTCTATAATCTCTTATTGAACTAAGTTTTTGTGGCTTTGGCCAAGTACTTATCAAAATAGTAATAAACTGGAATAGAAATATTATATTGCTATCATGGGGAACCTTTAGAGATTGAAATTTAAAAAGATCTAAAGATATTATTCATGTGCTAAGTGAGGACAGATAAATTATCCAGAGAGCATATGCAAGTTAAGGAGCAGGGAAAGATGTACATTATGGCACTAATACTTCACCTTCACTGCAAGAGAAGCAAATCCTCCACTCCTTATCACAAGGCAAAGCCACAAAATTTGTGGACCTGGAAATAACTTCACCCGCTCAGACAAATTCAGACAGAAAACCCCAATGTCAACATAATTCAGTTGCTGAAATTAATTACAATGCTTTTAACTATGATCATCTCGGACCATTTCCTTGTTCACTGATCGAAATCCACAAAATTTAAAAAAAATTCCCCGCATCCAAACAATCCCCAGCTTCCTATCAGAATCTGAAGCTTCATTGTTCACTATTTTCTCCCCCATCTCATCTTGTGTTGTCTCCAAGAACAGCCTTCTGCTCCCGTGGTATTTGCCTCTTGCAACTTCTATGGCTTTGAAAATCTATGCGCATCCTCCCTGAAGCATTGATTTTGAATTAGGTTGCTACGTCTGCCACAGCACCAAAGCAGCCCTCACCAAAAGCACAAATGAGGAGAGAAAATGTACAGCAGCTGAATTCACAGATGACACCAAGAAAGGTATGTTGGCGAAGGCCTAAAGAAGGTAGCAGACTGTTATAGCTCAGTTGAACAAGTGGAGCATAATGTGGCAAAATGTGAATTTGTTTACTCTGGTCGGAAGAATTAAAAAGCAGAGTATTAGTTAGGTTGAGAAGAACTGCAGAATTCCAAGGTGTAGAAGGATCAAGGTGTTATAGTGCATGAGTTGCAAAATATTAGTGTGCAAGTACAAGACTAATTAAGGCAGCTAGTGGAATGCTATCCTTTATTAGGACAGGAATTGAATGTAAAAGTAAGGACGTCATGCTTCATTATACAGGAAATTGGCGAGATTACAACTTGAATACTGTATGCAGTTTTCATTTAAGGATGGATGTACATGCACCAGAGATGATTCAGGGGTGTTTTACTAGAGCAATACCTGGAATGAGTGGGTGGTGTTATTAATGTAGGTTGGAGATCCCGGGCCTGTTTCTCTGGAATGCAGAAGAATGAGGGCAACTTGATTGAAATGTATAAGGTCTACAATGGTCTTGATAAGATGGACGTGATCGGATGGTTCCTCTTGTGGGCAAGTCCGTAACGAGGGAAGCACTGTTTTAAAATTAGGGGTCACTCTTTCAGAATAGAGATGGAGATTTTATTTTCTCCCAAAGGTTTGACACACTTTGGAACTCTCCACCAGTGTAGATGAGGTCATTGAATATTTTTAAAGACAGAAGATGGATTGATTCTTGTTCGGCAGGAGATTCAAACATTGTAGGAGTAGATGAGCATGTGGAATTTGACAAAAAAAACCTATCAACAATGATTTTATTGAACAGCAAAAGAGAGCCATGGGGCCAAATGGCCTGCTCCTATTTCACCTGTGTCTCTCTCTGCCTGTGTGGAAATGACACTGTGGTGCAATTTTGCTCATCATCCTATTCACCTGTTCTGTTCCAATGGCCACACCATCCTCCTTCAAGAACCCTCCTTTTTTATTGAGAGAATTTTAGCTCTTAGGTTGATGCCACAGTATCTTCTGCAATGGTTTATTTTCCTCTGGCTTCACCAGTCTGCCTGGAATCTATTTTACTTTCTAGCTTCATTTAGGCAACACCTAAAACAACAGTTAAACATTATGAAATGTTCACCTATATGGTCAACTGTAGAAAACTTCCGTGTGTAATGCATTAAAAAGAATGACTGCAAGTCTACTCTATAATATCAATAAATAAAGCTCAAGTTCTCTTGAAATGATGATTCTGAAATTCAGTATTTGTCCATGAACCCTTCTATCCATTTGCATGCAGTATACACCTTGATAATAAGGATGGGTCATTGTTTACCAGATGCTTTTACACTCACCATGTGCATGCAATGCACGATGCAGGAGTGGTAAGAGTCCAGCTTGCCAGAATGAGTAACAACCATCCACCAACTTGTTGCACCGACCCTGAAATCCACCTTCAAACCGCATCTGCCGACTGGTCACCCAGCGCTATACAAGACAGAATGTCATTGTGTAGAATATCAAGGTCACATTGTACTCTAACCTTAGCTTTTCCTGAAGTCACTATTTTAAACAGATTCCCAAACATTTATCCAATATTTAGTTAGAAGTACTTCCAATATCACTTAACATATTTTACTCATGCATATATACTAGAATCAGGACCCACTTCAGCTTCTGATTAAAAAGGCAAAGTAATAATTAATATTAATCACATTGGTAAGAAAAATATTACCTGTTGTAAAATGAGTTCACTTCCTTTGGAGTGAAGTGACTAACTTTTAACCTACCAGCACTTCCCCTCCCTCACAAAATAAACTAGTCAACAGAATTAATTGCTCCTGTTGTATACAACTGGATATTGCGAGATGGATTTGAATTTTTTGATCTGCAGGGAGTAGGAAAAGGAAGGAGAAGAATGCAGTAGCACACAGCAAGGCCAGACACACCGGCAACTTGACATATGCTGGGTGTTACAATCCCACTGCTGGATTAACGTATTTATTATTTCCAGGTTTTTAGACCAGTTCAGTTGAATGGGCATGATGAGAACACCATGAGCAGATTTCAATTCCAGGATTTAAAACGCGTATTGTAAACATGAAATTTGAAGGAATCTGAAGATGGGAAGTGGACACAAGGAAATGACAGAGTGGAGTAAACACATGCACAGGCTGTTCCCTGAATGTGATGCTGGAGTTGTACAGACTTTTCACTGATAATGTAATGAAATTGCTGGCGCTTTTACCCGTGTACTACTGACGAGGTTGAGAAGCCTGTCAGCAAAACAAAGGTATGACCTGAATTAATGAAGGACGTCAGCAGGACTATGGTGCCACATGCTTGGGTTCAATGTTAAAAGCAGTTTAATTACCATAGCGGGGCAGGAAATTAGAGTAAATTATGGGCTAATTTACACATGCTGAGCTCTTGCGGTGCAGTGACAGTGTTCCTACTCTGGGCCAAGAGGCCTGAATTCATAACTCACTGGCTGGAGAAGTGTATAATTGGTTATAAAATACACACAGCACTTGTAGGCACAGTGGTAGTGACCCTGTCTTTGAGCAAGGTCTGGATTCAAGTATCATCTGCTCCAGAGGTGTCATAATACATCTGAACATGTCAACTAAAATATCTTATAACAATCGTAGAGAGTCACTGGGTCACTGGCGGGATACATAGGAAGCAGACACAGGCAATACTGCATTCTGTAAACAAACACATTTCTAATTTCACACTTCAAAGGCTTTAATTAAAATAACAAAACTGAACACAACTACTGATGTGTGCATGACAGACCTCTTCAATCCACCTTCTCAAACACATCACTGTTCACAGCCACCAACTTGCAGGTGCACTGATCCTTTTTTGCCTATGCATTCTCAGGTCTCTACCTGCAAATTCACTTCTGACACACACACACCCCCATCTTTAAGCAATACCAAGCCTTTACCTCAGTCATGTTTAACAAATATTTGTTATGAATCCATCTATTCTACACTTGCCATACCATGATTCACAGGTCTCTTCTACCCCCGTCCTTTCAAAAGGGAAGTAAACAAGACGACAGAGACCGGAATGTAAATGTCAACCAACACTCTGCTTCGGAGGGAGCACTCCTGGATATCAGTGGAGTTACAACATGTTGTCTCGTGGCCGAAATAAGTATCAGGCACATAGCATGGTCGTGTTGATTAGGTGTTGGTAGCAAGAAAAATACGATCAACGCCTGATGAACATTTAAATTATTATTAATTTGGCAGTCCCATGCATGTCTTCAACTTCGCACATATCTGAAGGAGGCTGACAATTCCTCAAATGGTCAATAACTGAAAAAGGTTTGTGTACTTGTATTCCAGTGGGACCTAGTGGCTCATAAATCACAAGTGAGCAACAGCAGACTGTGAAAGTGGGCAGTGGTAGCAAGTCCACTTCAAACATTGCAAGATGCTCCAAGCTCTGCCAAGCTGGATACAGATGCTGAACTTTAGAAGTCGTAAACCAAGAGGATACTTCTGGAGCAGAAAGGGAAAAATCAAGGAAGGCATTCCAGCTGCACTGCAGACATTTGCATGCAGACTGGTAGATTCTCCCTCAAGCACAAGTGGTATGATATTGAATGTCTATGTGATGACATATTTGTCCAAAGAAAAATATGGCCACGTGAAACATCAGACAGGGTGATCAAATGAATACAAATCAGATCCTTACCAGCAGCTTTCACACAACAAATGCAACTGAAATAATATGCATGAAACCCTAATTTTGGCCATTCATCACCTCACTGCAGCAAAATGGTCTCTAGCTTATGGCTAGCACAGAAGTGCCTGTGGGCCCTGGGACTTGGCTCAAAGCTTTTCCACTTTTTAAAACAGCTGGCACCATCTCAGTCGAAGTACCAGATGCTATCTTGCATTCCAATGGTCAAGTCTACTAGGTGGTTGAATGTCAATGCCCTCTGACCATTCAGGGTTGGGCAATAAATACTGGCCTGGCTAATGTGCCCACATCCTGTGAATGAATTTAAAAACAAAACCTGCAAAAGCCAATAGACTCTGTTGGGCTTGAAAATGGAGAAGGGGGCTAACCAATATCATCTCAGCAGCCTGATTCTACCTCTGCTGAGGGACAGAAGTCGCATCATGAAGGAAAAGGAAGAGAAGGTAGTTGCACAAGGGCATACAAACAGATATGTTATACAATATCAGACTGTTAACATTTTGTTTAATTTTTCAGGCTGGAAAATATTTGTTTCCAGCACTTCCCAACGTTGGCCATTTTTTACCTGCTCCTTGGGAACTGGCCTTTGCACTTGGAATTAATATTAAGATAAGAACTGGTGCCAAGCAATGGGTGGAGGTGGGGATGGGGGGCAAAATTCAGATGCTTGGTAAATTTACAGGATTCCTTCGTGTTGGGGAAAGGGGATGATTCTCAAGTGTGGCTACCAGATGGCTGGACTGGGAGAACCCATGTGAATTGCACAATGATGTAATCCTGGGCAACAATTTACCTGCACTTAGGTGCCTTGGTCACATGATACACTGCCGCAGAAACACCTGAAGAGGTCCTGCACTTTGAGCCTTTTTCTTCCAGTTGGTTCAAACCTTGTTGTTATGCAATGTTGCATAGCATCAGTCCACCACAAATAAACATCCTGGAGAGCATAGGTGTTGCTTGTTAAAAGGAAACCTCCAGTTATGTCCAGGCAATTGAAACACATCTCCAACATGTTGCTAGCTTACAGAATAATTTTGATCACGTTGCTCCTAGCACTCACCGTTGTGGGTATCAGTAGGTATCCTTTGACATCAAGCAGCCAGCTGCTTCGAGGTATGGACAGATTACCAAGCAGAAGGAGAAAGAAAAAGCATGGCAGGTGCCTAACAATGTTGAATCCATCTGCATAAGTAACCTTTTATGGTTATTTGCCAACTATTCACTGATGGAGTGGATGTCATTCAGTTGAAAAATAGTCCTTAGGTGATCTTGGGCTGCATCAATTGCCAGATGGCTACGTCTGATGACACCCTGCACCTCCCAGAGGCAAGAACCAAAAAATACTTGAAAACAAACATACTAATTGTACAGAAGCTCCATTTTGATGTATACAAGGCGAGTTGGACCAAATGTCTCATTCGCCAGTTTTACTGGGTTTTTTTTTCCCCCCTTCTGGGTGATGGGAAACCAGCCAGAGCTGCAAACCAAAATCTGCCCACTCTTTCTTAATCTGTGGCAAACCTTGCTCACGCTGGTAACCCAGTCATCATTCACCTATCCTATGCAGTTTTAGGCCAAGATCCTGCAGTTGTCTCAGTTGTAGCACTAGAAGGAACCGAAGGGAAAGAAGGTGACATTGATGGTGACTTTAACTGCCACTGGCAAAGAAATGCTACCAAAGCCAGCTGGAGCCATTTTCCCCCCTGCAGTAGACTCTGGACCCCTTTACATACTGGTGTCATGGAAGTTTATCCTTTGTTTGTATACCCTGCGTTGTGGGTGTTGCCACCTGTGACCTACACAGTTCTGGCCTTTATCCTACGAAACAGCAGGACCGATAGGAGTAAGCTGCTTTACTTTCCGTTACTGCTGGTCATCTTAGTCCTCATCCGAGGTCCAGAGCAAAATAGCATCAGCACCAAAGCTAATCTAACAGATTCAAAGCTCCAAAGCAAATGAGCTATGAAAATGTTTAAATTTGTGGAAGAAACTATTCAGCACAAATTCTCTGAACAAAACCTTCTACACAATCCAGAAGAAATATGCTGTGCTTGACATCTTACCCTGATATGTCTTCAGCTGCCACAAATAACACCCTGTTCTCAGTGCATTTTTACTAGCAAATTCTAAGAAACCCTGTACTCATAGTAACACTCAAAAGCTAAGTTGTTATTTGCTCAATTTGATCAATATTAATGACCTGCCTCTCCCAAAAGGGTTGTTCACATGCATTGCAGTTAAATGCAAATGGTGGCAAGCTGGAACTGGCTTGCTAATGTGGTGTCAATTTCTGTACTTGAAGATTCCCACCAGCTCACAAGCACATGCAATCCTCAAAGTTAAACTTTATATCTCAACCTTGCTGATTCACAGGGATACTCGAGTTAACTGGAAGATTTCTTTTTGGATCTGTGCATGTGTGACTCCCTTCTCAATTATCCTGGTTTCAAATATCAACACGCACTGTGCCTAGATAATCAACACTGTCATTTATCCATTCACCCAGACCTTAGCAGTAATGTGGGGAAGCTTTGGATGGGTCATTTTAATGTCTTAAGGGCACTCAGATTGGTCAAAATGTGGTGACAATAACTAGGCACAATACTCTAGTTGAGGCCTTAACCAGAGCTTTATAAAAACTTCAGCACAAATTTGTCTGTATTGCTACGATACACTTCTGTTTGACAAAGGCCAAGATCCATCTGTTTTGGATCAATAACTTGCCATCTTCAAAGCAACAGGGTTCCAAGCTACTTTTTTTTTAAAAT